ACGTACGCTCTCTCTCTCTCTCTCTCTCTCTCTCTCTCTCTCTCTCCTCCTCTCTCTCTCTCTCTCTCTTCTCTCTGTTGAAATTTAATAGTGCTCTACGCCTGTTTTAAAATTTAATAACATTTCCATCATGCTATGGACAGCTACAAATCATTACTCTAGAAACATTTTAAATAATGGCGCGGAGAAGAGATTATTTTTCTCGACATTTTTAACGATATCGATTTATTGCGCTTGATTATGCGAGGTATTTCATCACTTTCGCATCTAGAAAGCTGATATCACATTCTGATAAACGACAAATTTAAACGGCTTTTTACGAGTGGAACGATTAGAATTATTCAATTGCATTAAAATGATATAAAAATAACGTACGTAATGTTCAAATATATTTGAATATATTTTGATCAGTTAAATTGACCTCGGATATCGCACGTCTGTTTCAATCGATTCAGATTCTCGGCAATTAAATACCGTTTTACATCATACAGTAAATTCACTCTAGTTCTGTACCGCGCAGAACGGTGTTTAAACAGCTACGCGACAGTTAAACAGCGTTTCTACCTTGTTAACAATATTCATTAGCCCATAGTCCGCATTATCGGTCACGCGTACATAGTTGATGCCTCGTTTAATTAATACGCTTTCGTCGAAAAGTACATGCGATAATAAATATTGACGTAAACCCTGATACCACGCTAAGATAAATAGCGATACAAGTGGATTAAATTGTACAGATAGATGTTCCCCCCCTCCCCCTCCTCCATCGATTTTCCGATTGGTTATCTCTACAAAAGTGTATTTTACATGTTAATTACATTTTATGTTAATTACAAAAATAATTATCTCACAACCGATTTGTGATGTCCTAATCGAAGTTGTTAACACATTTATAATTGATTCGTCGCGAATGTTTCTCTCTGTGCGCGTAGTTATCTTTCATTTAATCTGCTCGAAATATTAATTCAAGCGTAATTTTTTTCTTCAGATTCATAATATCGAATCGAATATTTGTTTCGCGGCACGTAGATCTTGCGATTCCTCACTTAACGTACTTTTCTTTCTTTCTTCCCGTTCTTTCCAAATCTTTATTCTCTGTCCCCCTCCCTCTCTTTCTCTCTCTCTCTCTCTCTCTCTC